AAAAGTACTTTGAAAGTCAGCCCAAAGGTCGGCATCATGAGCAGAAATCTGCGGCTGAAGTTGTTGGCGAAAACACCGAGCATGATGCACGGAGGAACAGCCAGAGCATAGTTGAGGGTACTGATGTAAAGGTTCATGGTGGTCGCCAAGTCCTGAACTCTTTTCACAAGCTCCTCTTGGCTGCTGGCATTCCCAGAGGCATGAGAAGTGTTCAGACAAGGTTGGCTGCATAGAAAAGGAAACATTCATGTGAGTTTATTGCTCTATAGAAGAGCATATGGCTCTGTGGATGAGAAAAGAAAAAGAAGGAAAGAAAGAGGGCAGATACTGAGATAGAGAGAATGCCAACACCTGTCACGCCTCTAAGGAAAACATGAGTAATGGTGATAGAAGTAAAATACACATCTTATCAAATAAGCACATGTTCTCTTTCATCAACACCTGAACATTTATTATACATGATGTCACAAATTTTTTTGTGACAAAATAGAACTTGAACTTCAGGCTGAATTGTACAGCTAAACTTTCCTCCAAATTATCAAGTACGCAAAACCAGGTACCACACAGGTGTATAATGATGTCAGGTACGCTTCATCCTTTTCTCCTGCAATAAAATATTTTATACATATGTAACATACATTCTTAATTTATCAGAACCAATCATTCTGCACTCCGTTAGTGTCATATGTTTACTTCTTCCTCTCATTCATCTCTCAATGTGCATCCCAGTCTCTAGCGCGAAGGTTGCTGTTTTCCGCAGGTCCTCGAGGCTCACACAGAGTTTTGTGTCTCCCTGCCCAGGATTGGACCACTATTTTCCTTCTCTCATGTTTACCAACAACCAAGTTTTTCTGGACAAATCGTACTAACACTAAAACTCCTACAGCATCTTTTTATCTTTCTTCACATCGATCTATGTGCGCTCATACGACCTTATGCAGTTGCGAGCACCGTAAAAACTCTACTAAAACTAAATAGATCTATGTGACGCATCATGGTGAAATCAGTCGCTCATCAAAATAATGATTAAGGAAACTGGCAATTTTCTGATGAAGGGCATTTTTTTTCAAATTTTCTCCTTTTGGTTCAACACATTTAACGTCCAGTTAAAACACACATTTCTATGTGGATTTACTGAAAAACGTCGATTACAGGGACAACAAAAGTACATTTTTAGTTTCCAAGGACTCTTAAGCTATGGAAGTCATCAAACTTTGGCAGAAACTATTTTCTCACTAATTTTACATCTGAAACCAGGTGACCCCCATCTCCTTAAATCGCAAATACATGTACCTCGACTTCTGTTCAAGACCAATGGATATTATTCTCACCAAAAGCAAGGCAAATGAACCGATTTTAAAATGCTAACAATGACTCCATGTGCCCCAAAATTGATGAGCACCTGATTCCACTGCTTCGTCACACATGTTAGTACCTGAAATATAGTCCAGTCCATTTATAACAGCCACCGTTATTACAGGAACTTGGATATAACAGTGATAAATCAAAGCCCTGTGTTTTTTTCGTTATAAGTGTAAGTAATATGAACCTGGCTATGACGGGGTTCAATTTGCACTGACTTGGATATCACAGTGATCTTGCAGCGCAATAACTTGCTTTTGATCCGTCAGATTATCAAAATTTGTCTCAACCAAGATATTTCGCCTGTTTGTATGATCGCTTGCTTAAACACTAACTTTCAAACACATACCCCCTCCCCCCCCCCCACACACACACATAGTGTTGGGGTGATTGGGGTCACTGATCGATTCCATCTCATCTCAGTGTCAGCAAAACAGCCCACTGGACAAGGATCTGTGGTAATCGAATATATATATATATAATAGTAAGTTGAAGGTGCAATGGTTCTGGCAGTTTTCCTCGATAACGGTTATAACAGGACTCGCTTATAACAGAGGAAAAACTGCCGGTCACGTCTGTCCTGTCATATTCCAGTTGGACTGTACCTGGTGGTGTCCACGCTGTCGTTGCCCAGAACCTCAGTGGCAAAGGCTTTGACCAGGTACTGGTCCATGAGCGGATCCAGGAAGCGGTAGGAGCCCAGCACCAGCACAGACAGGATGTTCACCATTATGTACGGCAGCCACTCCAGGCGGGACTCGCCCTTGCTTGGCTCAGCAGAGAGGTCATCGGGGTGACTTTTGTCCTTTTCAGGGTCATCTTGCTCTGGCCCTACATTGCAAAAACATGGATAATAGTGAACATGGGGATTGAAAAAATGTGAATTGTAATTCAGAAACAGATAACAAGTGTCAGTTACTACAAGAGTCAGATATGGGTTTTGTTTTTAACTTGTTACCAGCCACAACTTGAATTATATAAGATTTCTACCTCCATTCTTGTGCTTGAAGTCGTCTTGCTGCTTGCACCAGATGATTTTTTAATTATATGGCCTTCTTTATGTGCAACAAAGCCCCAACCACTTTTCACCCCACGTTTCACAGAGCCATCAGTGAATATTACTGGATCCAGGGGCCTGGAGTCTTCCTCGACAATCTGTCTTACTTCCGACTCTGCTGTTCCTGCCACCTCCAGTACATCTCCTTTCTTCACACCAATGATAACTCTTGTCAAATCGTGAGCAACCTCTTGTGACACTTGAATCCACTCACTGCCTTCATTTATATAATGTAACTCACACACCTATTTACAGACTCTTCTGCCTGTGCTATCCAAGATTGACCTCTCTTTAGTCGGGTCCCTCTGTCCTGCTTGATCACTGGATGAAGTGGGTGGCCTTCCATTATCATAACTTTCAGGTACATTTTAGCCTGAGCCAATTTGTCTTACTCGTATACTGGAGAGTCCAAGTATGTGTCTTAGACAAACAATTGGAGTGTCTCTGGTGCAGCCAAGGACAGTACGCATTGCCTCATTTTCAACCCTCTCCAGTTTTTCTATTTGGGTTTTGATAGAGTTAGCAAGCCCTGTCCATAATCAATCACAGACAGTATCACAAGCTGCATCATAATGATTTCGGTTGTATTAGGTGCCGGTGACCAGAAAAACCTCAAAAGTAGTAAGTGCTGATCATTAGCCTACAGAAAAGACGAAAGTATTAAAAGTCAATTACATATATAGCTATGGGCAAGTAAAATGACTAAAACAATACTTCCTTAGGGAGAGGGGTGGAGGTAGTTGGGGTGGTGGGGGGACAGCACATAGTGTCATGACCTTACCCACTGGCCCCTGACCCTGGGGTACTAGTTCATTCACTGGGCCCAGGTGTGACAAACTGGCATTTTGCTCTTTCTGCTGGTCCAGCTCTTGGGACGACTGGTCAAGCTGGTCAGCGTGGTCAGGGTCTGTCCGGTGGATGGATAATGACGTCATTTCTGTCAGTCAGTCTGAATGAACAAGGCACATCCAGGACGTCTATCAAGCTTTAACCAGACTCAGAAGACTAACAGGATGTTTCGTAGCAAATCGTTTGTTCCTGAAACACAAAACAAGCCAAAGGCATGTTCATTTTAGAGCGTAATTGAGCACAGTTACCCCGAAGTAAATCACCCAGTCGTTAAAAGACCTATAAATCTATTCAAAATATATGTAATACATGATGCTAAGCGTCTGAGTGAACATCTA